GTAAGAAACCTCAGTCACGAAACCAACGGACGGGGCAAAAACCTGATCTAAAGTAGATGGCATTTGATTGTCCCTATACCTAGTGGGGAAATCCACGAACTTATGCCATGGAACATACATAACCAAGTAAAAAGGGAGCTATAATCTCGATGAAGCGGGTCACGCCAGTACGAACATGATCAACGTTTGACCTAGATACAGAAACAATATAAACCTATGTAACTACACGAAAAATAAGTGTTGAGAAACTACATGGCTCGAAAAGCAATACATCCTCTTTGCAAAACATGATGTAAGGTTGAATGGCAAGGTCATTGGCGACAAGCGGAAATTGGCGCCGAAGCGCTGCAAGATCCCTAGTGATATTGTTACAAAAGTTTTAGGTAGGGTTTCGAATGGTTCCGGACATTCATCGCCAATTTTCCGTGGGCGTAGTAATCTAGTAGGATATTTGATAAACGCGCTGTGCCCGCGAATATGGCCTATTGGGACGACTCTCCGTGAGACGTAGCGGCCCTGCTTGCCTAACAGACTTCTAAGGAGAAAACGTGTGGTAAATTCGTTCACTGCATACTATAGACCTGAAGACATAGTTAAAGACTTTGATGAGTAATTTGAAGGTGAGGTTTGTCTTCTCACTGTAACCTAATGAAGCAAAAGGTGGAGGACTTTTCACGGTGTCCAACCTGAAAGCAGATTTAACCTAACACGGATGGACACACCCAAGGTGTGTGAGTGGTCACCGACTGTTGTCCTTAGACGACTTGAAACAACTGATGTGAACACACGCAAGAACTTGGATCCTAGCCTTCTATACACGCAAATAGCCGCTACCCCAGTGCGTCCGACTTTGTGACGCTTTATAGGGAGAACTCTTGCGCAGCGAAAAGCCACCACTTCCTGGGACACTGCCATTGACCACAAGTTAAACAGCATAGTAGTATTGGCAACGCAGCGGCAAGACTGACTTCGCGAACTGCTAATGGCAGTCACGGTACAATTAATTTTCTTTGTCTCAGCGAAAACCATAGTCAACATTAACAAGTGTAATGGTTCCGTCAGAGCAGGTTTGAAATGCCGAGAGACGATCGGGCTGAAATGGAGCGCACAGTAAACACACACGACAGTAACTCGACTAGTCTATGAATGCGTTAACACATGCAACCGGATGAGGAAGGAGCGTCACGATATCCAGCGAACGCAGCACGAAGAGATGCAACCAATCGGGCAGTCACCGACCACGGAAGGAAGAACATGACGGGAAGCAGCAACGTGTATCTCCGACAACCAAAAACGAAGGTACAATCAAAACAAAACGCAAGTCGTTCAAAAATGGTATAAAAGGTCCGTAGATGCGTCAAATGGGAAATATGTTCATAACGATTCATTCATTGTTCAACGTGTTCGAGTCTGAAAAAGGAAAGAAGAAAGATAATTAAAAGTGGCGGTTCGTTTGAAGTCCCATTACAGTTTCGGTTTCGTTACACTGCCCACCTCCTGCATTGGGCACTGACCTCAGTGCCTCCGGGTCTTAATTTCTCTTTGGATCTTTTGGCAAAGGAAGGTGTTCGAACTTCATTTACCTGGAGATTCGACTGCTAAATATTTGGAATTTGTCAAGCACAAGGCACGATGGCGTCCAAATGCTTGGATTGTGGTAAAGGCGTTACCGCAAGATCGAAGGCTGTGCAATGCTCTCTCTGTGATGGGTGGCTACACATTGCCTGCTGCGACATCAGTCCAGATCTTTATGATTACCTCCAGAGGACCACCTCCTCAGCTATCAGTTTCCATTGTGACTCTTGTCGAACTGTATTGAGCGATAGACGGGTGTTGAACTTAGTCCACGCACTTAGCCCACGATCCATTCCTACTCAAACTGAGAACTGCACCTCTGCTAAACCGCCGGTATCTTCATCGCCTCGTTCGGCCTCTGACTCAGCCATTTCCACTGGTAAACGAGGTCGCGTCCCCTCGTCTTCGCTATCGGAGCCTCTGACACTTAGTGATGGCAGCCATGAGTCCAAGAGAAAGACATATGCGGCAGTAGTGAGTGAGAATGTAGAACAAGCATCGGCTAGTACATGCGCAACTCTGCGAGCGAAGAAAACCAAGAGTGATTCTACGACTAAACCCAAGAAATCTTCCGAACTAAAGCTGGTCCTCGATAGAGTAAGCCAGTTGGAAAACGTTCTCAAGAACAGCATGCCTCCCATGTCCCAACCCACTGAATACAATAAACCGCATCCTCGTGACCGTTGTTTGATCATCGTGAATGCTCCTGAATCCAACAAGGCTTCCCCGGCTGAAAGGATCCTGGACGACCAAGAGTTTCTGCGGCGAATGGTCTCCCTCCTTTTTGATGAAGGTGAACAAGGGATCAATATTGTCTCTGCTTTTCGTCTCGGAAGAAAGCAAGACGATTCTTCTAAAGTTCGTCCCCTCAAGATTGTCTGTCAGAGTGAGGATGAGTGTCGCCGCATTCTCAGACGGACCCCACGTCTTAGGGGAGAAACCTTTTATGTTTTGCGGGACCTCTGTCCGGAGGATCGGATCCGAATGAAGAAAGCTGTTGAAGAACTACGAACACGCCGGATAATGGTGAGATGAACCTCCACATTGTGGATTTTCCTGTAGTTCAAATAGCTCCGAGAGTTCGCTGGAGGCCAATCTTTGTCGCTCTCGGGCAGTAAGACCGAAGAATAGTTTGAGGGTGATATCTGCTAATGTACGTAGCCTACGAAACAAACTTGATGAAATTCAGAACTTTGCCTATGAAAATCACCCAGATCTTATGGCTTTCACAGAGACTTGGTTGTTTTCGGACATCCTCGACTCAGAGGTGCATATTCCGGGGTATAATCTAGCTCGAGCGGATCGCTCTCGAAATAGGTCCGGAGGTGGTGTGATTCTTTACTGGAAAGAGGACCTCAGGGGTCATCTGGTTGAGGCCATTTGCGACAATGGAGATGGTTGTGAACTTCTTTGGTGTCGGATACATGATGGATGCAAGTCTCTTATAGTTGGAGTCGTTTACAGAGCCCCTTGGCTTCCGGAGCTAGCTTGCTGGACTCTATTAGTATGCACGGTAGAGGCAAGGATTGTCTGATATTGGGAGACTTTAATACTGCTAGTATTGACTGGGATTTACTCCATTGCAATCTTCCCCCCAACTCCTTTGATGCTGTCTTCTTCGAAACCATGCTTGCATGCCATCTGTTTCAACATGTTACAATGCCCACCAGAATGTGTCCGGGTCAATCGCCACACATCCTCGACCTCGTGCTCACACCGTCGCAGTCGGATGTTTCCGACTTGACTGTTCTCCAACCATTTGGGAGAAGTGACCACTGCGTAGTTTCCCTTTGTTGGATGCGGCGTCTTACCATTCACGATCAGGGAGTATGCCGTCGGAACTTCTGGCGTGCTGATCCACTCCGTTTGAAAACTGCTGCCGGCGCTATGGACTGGGTAGTCCCTCAGCACTTAGATGTTGATGACGCTTGGACCCTCTTGTACTCCCAAGTCACGTCCCTCATAACTCAGGTCGTTCCACTCTGCAAAGGGAAATGTTTTTCCAATGGCCCTCCCTGGATTGATCGTGAGTTAAAATCCCTTATGCGTCGTCGACGCAAATTGTGGGATAAGTTCAAGACTACACAATCGCCTCTGGACTACCTTGATTACAAAGCGGTCAGGAATATCAGCACATTCAAAAAGCGAGAGAAGCGACAACAGTACGAGCGCCGCTTTGGCTGAGGAATCTTCCACCGCTCCCAAATTACTGTTCTCCAATCTGCGGAGACGTACGAAAGCTGGTAATGGAATACCTGCGTTGTATTCCAAAGAAAATGATACTACTCTTCATGATTGATGATGCAAAAGCCGGACTCTTGGCCCTGCAGTATTCCTCAGTCTTCTCGACTGAGCCACCGTATACCTATGATTTAGCGTCTATCGCCTTCATGTACTTTAGAACGCTTAGAGCGGCCTTGGATAGATGTTAGCACAATATATTTTTTGGTGCAACAGCAGCCGGCTGGTAGCTTACTGGAACTGATGCCCATCCGTTACCGTTAGCTCAGCCAGCTTGCACCAGTTGCATTTCTCTTCTCCTTTTTTCTATGTATTGCGGCACAGTAGCTGAGTGTTCCCCACCTCTAGCTTCAAACGTGTTTGATGATGATGACTGATGAACGCTTAGAAAATCAGCCCCCGAATTGGTTGCCAAGGCTTCATTTCGAGCTAAATATCCGAACTTATCACCAGGTCCTGATGGGCTACACGATTTGTTCCTCAGAACCCTGGCTGAGTACATCGCATGTACCTGTTTGCCAATTTTTCAGCGGTCTCTTGATGCGGGGCGTCTCCCGCTTGCTTGAAAATTGGGCACTCGTTCATGCCCGCATATATAGAAGGAGTGAAATCGTCAGGACCCCTGGAAAGCTATCGACCAATTTGCTTAACATCTATAGTTTTGTAAAGCATGGAACGAATTCTAAGCGAGCCCTTTCAGAGTCACCTTGACAGCTTGAATGTCATTTCCTCTGCGCAGCATGGCTTCAGGCGAGCTCGCTCATGTGTTTTCCAACCTGCTCGTTGCCAGAGAGAGGTGGGCCAGGTCATTAAGATGCCGGAAATCGCTTAGACGTTGTCTTCGTGCGACTTCAAGAAGGCATTTGATCAGTACCAGCACAAACGGCTTCTGTTTTAAACTGCGGAGTATTGGTGTTTCTGGAGAGATATCCTCATAGGATCACTGATTTTCTGGATGGCCGAAGCATGCGAGTGGTGAATGAGGTCTACTCCGCTTCCGTTCCCATGACCAGCGGTGTTCCACAAGGCTCTGTCCTTGGCCCCGAGCTGCTTAAAGTCTACATCAATGACCTTCCCATCTGTACTCCCAGACCGATTGTCTGCTTTATGCCGATGACCTGAAGATTATGGATGGAGTTACCAACACCTGAAGCCGCTGTACCGACATGCAAGAGAAGCTAGACCCTGCTTTCATAGCTGGTCTTCGGAAATGTGCGTCTACCCATCAAATCAGTGAGAAGAAGTGCTCTGTCCTGCCGATCGGCTCTTCTGACCCATTTGGCGCCTATCACATTGGTGGTTTCTTGATCAGGAATGCTGCCTGTGAGAAAGACCTTGGTATACTCGTATCTCCTCGAACTGCGTACTACGGAGGGCACCCTGAGGAAGATAGCGGCTGCGAAAAGGATGTTCTGTGCCATTAGGAGATCGTTCTCCCGAATGACTCCAGAAGTCTTCAGACTTCTTTTTTCTTCCCATGTGCGCCCTATACTCGTGTACGGTTTGTCTGCGGCCTACCCTTTTACAAAGACTGAACGTGTTATGATTGAAAGTGTTCAGCGACGAGGCTCGAAATCCATCTCAACGCTCCGTGACCTGCCTTACACTTAGCGTCTTCGACAGATGAACATGTTTTCCTTGGACTACCGTCGACGTCGGGGTGATCTGATTTACACCAGACGGATATTGCGAGGACAGATGGGGAGTGAACTGCAAGAGTTCTACCAGCTCTGCGCTGGTAGCTCGACACGGGGTCACTCTTGGTAACTGTTTATGACGAGGAGGGTCCGGATTCATTCTGCTTTCACCCAATCAACTCGAGAGGTAAAGGACTGGAACATCTTGCCTGAACGGGTCGTTGGTGCACAATGCGAGGAAAGTTTTAGGAAAATGTTAGACTCCTATATGCTGAGATTGCAAGCATCCTGCTGTCTTCGTTGCGATCATAATGGTCCCTTGCGGAATACCGCCTCGTCGCATGTCGCACAATCCCTCGTCTGAACGGGATGTGACGGTGCTGACATAGGATGTCCTATCTGCTCTCTACCACTCCAAGGCGCACAGCTTCACACAGACCCCTGGTAGCAGCAGCAGCAAACTCGGTACCGACACACTCTGACCAGATCGTCCTCAGTCGGTCCACCACCGAACCACCTGCCTCACTGCCTGGAGTACTTTACTCACCTACACATTCCAACCTTCAGACTTTCAACGACCAAGCCGCCAGCACCCATCTGGGCTCCGACGACCCACACCTTGTTTTCCCAACTACAAACCTTAGCGGCTCCACCCCCCTAAACCAAAAAAACGGTGCACTGCCGGTCATCTGCTGACCGGCACCACCCTAGTTACTCCCGCGCTCATCACCCAAACGGGCCTCACCTGTATCTACACGAACGCACAGGGCCTCATGTCCAAACTTCCGGAGCTCCAATTCCGACTTCTGTCAACACCAGCGGACCTAATAGCCATAACGGAAACGTGGCTCTCCGGCGACATAACCGACGGTGAAATCCAACTTCCTCACATGTCAGTTCTCCGCTCTGACCGCGCAACCCCAGGTGGCGGTGTCGCACTGTACTATGACATCTCCCTCAGCTGCAGCATGTTAACAAACACCTCCCTCCAGTCTCCAGACACCATGTGGTGCGAGGTCGTACTAACCGCCAAACACTCCAGCTGTCTTGGTATCATTTACCGCCCCCCAAACAACTCTCCCGAGAAGGATGCACGACTACTGCACGACGTCCACCTTATGTTATCCCACAAGCGCACACACTTTCTTATCATGGGTGATTTCAATCTGCCCCGTCTATTTCACTCTGTCCCGTCTACTAACTCCTTTGCATCAGGCCTCATTGATCTTCTTCACACGGCCCCGTTGTACAACCACACGTATCAGCCGACCAGATTCCGATCCAACAACCAACCGTCCCTGCTAGATCTCGTCCTCACTAACGAAGAACTGATGGTTGAGCACGTTGAGTATGATGCCCCTTTGGGGCTTAGCGACCACTGCGTCCTCCGTTTCGATTTTATATGCTTCGCCGAAAAACTCGTCAGCACGCCAACTTATACCAAACGCTGGACTGATTACGGAAAGTTGAACCTTCTCATTTCCGCTAACAACTGGTCACCCGAGCCCCAATCGAGCGCCGACAGCGTGTGGTCAAGCTTTTGCCTTACTCTACGTGAACTCTGCTCCACTACGACGACGTGCAAAGAAGTTTCCATAGGAAAGAGACGCCCAGCACTCATCCGAAGTCGTACACGGAAATGGATTGCCTCCAGGAACACGGCATGGAGAAACTATCGCTCCCATCCAACGGCCACTCAGTGGGAATATTACCGATCCATCCGTAACCAATGCGTCCATCTTGTACGAGAAGATAAGAGTGAGCACCAGCGTCAACTTATGCGTAAATTTTCATCCAATCCCAAAGCCTTGTATAGACACGTCAATAGTCTTCGACAAGTCAAACACGGTGTCACCGCATTGACGACCCCCACAGGGCTCACGAAATCAGCTACCGAGGCAGCAGAAGTCCTGTGCAAGCAGTACGCATCCACATTCTCCGTTCCATCACTGCACACAACGACGGTACCTTCTTCGGTTTCACTCTCAACTTCCCTGACGACTGTTCATTTCACTCCGGAGAAGGTCCTGGCGAAACTCAAGTCCCTGCGGCTAACGGCCTCTCCTGGCGCTGATGGTTTCCACCCACGGCTCTTGCGAGCGTGCGCTGCAGCTCTAGCTTTACCCCTAGCGGAGCTGTTCACCCACTTCTTCTTGCAAAGCAAAGTTCCCAATGATTGGAAATGTGGGACTATTACACCAATCTACAAAGGCGGTACTCGCAAAGATCCGGCCAATTACCGACCGATAACTCTCCTATCTACGATCTCCAAAGTGATGGAATCGATCGTCGCAGACGCTTTAACGGATCACATGGAGACCCAGAAACTGCTCTCTGATTGCCAGCACGGTTTCCGGCGTCAACGGTCTTGCCTGAGTAACCTGCTACTTGCCAGGGACAGCTGGACGACTGCAGCCGACTCTGGCCAAGAAACGCATGTTATCTTTCTGGATTTCGCCAAAGCCTTCGACAAGGTCGACCACAAGATTCTGCTGCGGAAACTGTCATCTTACGGCGTTTCAGGGGACTTGATGGACTGGATCCGGAACTACCTCCAAAACCGTACCTTCCAAGTACGCGTCGACGGAGCGTTGTCTCCCCGCATCCTTGCCACAAGCGGAGTTCCACAGGGGTCTGTTCTCGGACCGCACCTCTTCCTAGCCTTCATTGACGACGTCACACCGCAAGTGGAGTCTTCGCTGCTACTATACGCGGATGACGCCAAGCTGTGGCGCACAATTAACCTTCCGGACGATGCCCACGCACTTCAGACGGACCTCGACCGTCTAGATCAGTGGTCCATAGAAAATAACCTTCCATTTAACGCTTCGAAATGTCGCGTCCTTTCTACCCGCCCTTCCGCTTTTTCTCCTGTATATTACCTGGGAGCGTCTATCCTCCAGATCTCTTCAGCCGAAAGAGACTTGGGTATCATTACCCAGACGAGTCTTTCCGTATCCGCTTCCTGCCGGAAAGCAGCTGCTGCTGCTAACCGCATGGTGGGATTGCTGAAACGAGCCTTCGGTCAAATTGACCCCAGCAATTTCCGCCTCCTCCTCAACGCTTTTCTCCGACCCCACTTGGAGTTCGCTATTCAGGCTTGGAGCCCTTGGTTGTTGAAGGACCAACGCATACTCGAAGCCCCACAACGTCGAGCAACCAAACTGGTCCGAGGTCTCAAGCACCTAGATTATCCACAACGACTTCAGTGCCTGGGCCTCTACTCGCTTAAGTACCGACGTCTACGGGGCGACCTGATCCTCGTATTCATGATCTTATCCAACCCTGGACATCCCTGTCGCCACCTACTCACACTGCACCAATCGGGCTCCCACCTACGTGGCCACCCACTGAGGCTCACACATCAGCACAGTCGGCTGAACTGCAGACGACACTACTTCTCTTTGCGAATCTGCCGACCGTGGAATGCTCTGCCGGCCGATTTAGTCTTGGCACCCACTGTGGCGGACTTTAAGGCCCGCTTGGACTGTCATCTGGCCGAGCTACACCGCGATATTCCCTAATTTAACTACATTCTACTGGATGGAATTTCTTTCTTTTTTCTTTTCCACCTTCCTTTCCAAAGCCGTTTCGGAGGGCGTGGTGGGATGTCTCGCTTTGAGCCGGCGTGCATTCTGTTTAAATGCCACATAAGCCCGATGAAGATACGGCTAACACGCGAGTCCAACCCGCTATAAGGTTGCTTGGCCTTTCATTAAACCCGACCCGTACTCTTTTTACCCTATGGGTCATGTAAAGCTCCAGCTTTTATTCCCATTAAATACAATGTTCCAATGTTCCAACTGCGTTGACTAGACCCAATAATTGCAGGAGGAAGAGGGCTAAGAAAGTCCCTAAGGCTGCCTCAAAGCCTGAAGGTACTGAAAGCATTAAGATATTGGAGGTGGTACACAAAACTCCAACTCCAATCACCCCAGTTCCATTGGCGAAGCAACGCGCGGTGTCGACTTCGGCCACACCTGCAAAGTCTGAAAAGACTAGACCGGTGAGGGAGTTGTAGGCAGAGGATAAAGCCTCAACCTCAATTACTCCAGCTCACTTGGCGAAGAAACGTGCCGTGTCATCTGCCAAACCGGTCGAAACTGAGGTCGCGTCGAAGACGCGTGGAGTGAATACGCCTCGTCGAGGTGATTCTTTTACTGCTAGTAGCGTTATCTTTCGTAACGTTGCTGAATCCGCGGCAGCTCTTCCAAAGGAGCGCATGCTGGATGACCTCCAGTAGTCCAAGCTCTGCGTCAGCAAGATGCTTCCATCTGGTTTCCCCGGTGTCACTATCAGGAAATTAACCAGATTGGGGAACGTCCCTGTTGACACGCCAAATCCGCGACCCCGACTACTTCGTGTAGTCATCTCAACCCCGGAGGAACGCAAAGCGTTAATGCGCTTTGCATTCATACTCAAGGGTAGTAATGTCAGCGTTCAGCCGGACCTCCGACTGGCAGATCCACTGAAGTTAAAGGAAGCCATCAAAAGCAGGCGGGCGGCTGGTGAGCAAGGCCTTCGTCTTGTGGGTTTTCAGGTGGTCAGCCGGAAGTCAAATTCTGCCCTACCAGAACCTCTCCTGGTAGCGTACGACCCAGGGCTGGTCGTGCCGAGTTCCTTCGGGTAGTGCTTAGTAATGTGCGTAGCCTAAGGAACAAGGTACACGAGGTGGGTCTACTTGTAGACAAATCTCGTCCCGACATACTTGCTATCACCGAAACGTGGCTGTCCCCGGATATCACAGACGGTGCAGTATGTTTTCCTGGCTACGCACTGCTTAGATGCGATCGTTTCGTTGGCCGCCAAGGTGGGGGCGTCGCTCTTTATGTGAGTTGTAAACTCGATGTGTTGAGGACTTGTGTGTTCCAGTCGCCAGATCAAACTGTTGAAGCCCTCTCGGCTATTGTGTGCACTTCCTCTGCTCAGTTTACATTTGTAGTGGTATATCGAAGTCCTGGTAGTATCTCCAGGGAGGTTTATGAATTTATTCGTACTCAGGCTGCCAATAGGTGTCTAATACTGGGTGACTTCAACCTCCCTGAAGTCTGCTGGGCTGATCTATCTTGCAGTTCGGCTGTTTGCACTTTCGGTTCGGATCTCCTTGAGCTAACATTGCAACTGCCTTTGCATCAGTTCGTGGACCTCCCGACTAGATATATGCGCAACCAAATTCCGTCTACCTTGGATCTCATTTTTGCGAAGTCACACGATTTCGTAAGTGATATTACCTACGACTGTCCTCTAGGAGCCAGTGACCATGTCTGCATATCCTTTCGATGTGCTCTAAGTGTCATCAAGCTACCGCTGAGGCATGTCCAAATATTTGACAGGCAGACTTTAACGCAATGCGGGCCAAAGCTTCAGTTTTGCGTTGTACGATCACCGTGGCTGACACCGTTGAGACAGCCTGGGCGAAATTTAAGGCATACCTCACCGAGATCTCTGCTCCCCACATCCCATTCACTAAGAGAAGGGTGACACGGGCGCAGCCTCCATGGATAGATCATACAGGTAAATACCTGCTCAGGAAGCGCTCTAAGTGCTGGCGAACTTACCAAGCGGCTTCATCAACCAGCACCTACGAAAGCTATCGAGTGGTTAGAAATAAATGTAAGCATCATCTTAGAACTCTTCGTCTTCAGTACGAGGAGGATTTGCCTAACGCAGCCGTAACAAACCCAAAGAAGTTCTTTGCTTAAGTAAAGAGACGTAGCGGTACAAACTCGTCTATACCGGCTTTACTACGAGCGGACGGGACCCATGGGCATACCGACTATGATAATGCCTGTATACTTAGCGAACAGTATACTGGTGTCTTTTCTCATGAGGCCTCTGTACCTCAAGTTGAGCTGGTCACTAAAGTTCCGGAGGATTCTTGCCTAACTGAAATAAGCATAACGGAGACACAAGTCTTCGGGCTATTGCAAGGGCTAAATCCTTCCAAAGCTTCTGGCCCTGATTCAATTCATCCGAAGCTGATGCATGAATTGGCCGCTGAGCTAAGTGGCCCTCTGACATGCATGTTTACAATATCACTCGACAGCTGTGCCTTACCTTCTGAATGGAAGAAGGCAATCATCTGTCCGATTTTTAAGGGCGGGGACGGAGTTCTGCCCGCGAACTACCGGCCTGTCAGCTTAACAAGTGTAGTAGTTAAGTTGTTTGAAAAATTGGTCAGGGATTCGGTGGAGAATCACCTGATTAAGTTTAACCTTCTCAGTGCGGCCCAGCACGGATTCCGTAAGGGATTTTCATGTCTGACAAATTTGCTTGTAGCTCGTGAAAGCTGGGCTGAGGCAGTAGACAACGGTCACGCCATCGACGTGCTCTTCGTTGACTTCTCGAAAGCCTTTGATACTGTCCCACATCAACGACTCTCATTGAAGTTGAGATCGTATGGGATATCTGGAGCCGCCCTTAAATGGGTTTCTGCTTTCCTAGAGGGCAGAGAACAGTGTGTACGCGTGGGGCGTAGCCTTTAGCCTAGACAAGCTGTTCTTAGTGGCGTTCCGCAGGGCTCGGTTCTAGGGCCGTTGCTTTTCGCAATTTATGTCAATGACCTACCCCAGGAGCTTGGAGTACCGTCGCTATTGTTTGCTGATGACCTCAAGCTCTGGAATATTGTGGATATCCCTGGTGGCTCTGAGGCACTTCAGAGTGCTTTGGATAGGCTCTGGGATTGGTCAACCTTATGGTTGATGCCCATAAATCAGGCGAAATGTTCTGTCCTCCGCATTGGAGGTGCTAGTCCCCCCACGCGCTATGTAGTTGGTGGAAGTGAACTCCCTGTTGTCATTCAGCAGGTTGATCTAGGTATCACCCATACCTCATTGCTTCACTCTGGGGAAAATTGGAGGAAGGCTGCTTGTAGAGGGTTCCGTATGATGTGGTTTATTCGCCGCTCCTTCGGTGTCCTAACGGCCAATATCTTTGTGAAGCTGTTCTCAGCTTTCGTGCGACCTCACTTAGAGTACTGTATCCAGGCTTGTCCACCTTGTCTTGTAAGGGACAAAATGGAACTGGAGAGGGTTTTGCGAGTGGGTACAAGGTTAGTGCAAGGATTACGGGGGCAAACGTATCCCGAACGTTTGCTTAGCTTGGGTATGTACTCAATGCACTACCGCAGAATTAGAGGAGGCTTGATCCTCACTTACCGTATCTTAACGGGTAAGATCGGTCCAGACTTGTCCTGGCTATTTAGTCCCGCCAAGCTGCCTAGTCTCCGAGGTCACTCGTTGAAGCTGCACAAACATCGTTCTGACCGGGTAAGGACGGAAACTCGCTTGTCGCGTCGCGTTATTGAACGTTGGAACTCGCTTCCGGCGCACGTGGTTAGGGAGTCTACGGTAGAGGGTTTCGAGCGTTAGTTAGATGCTCTAGGGTGGCAGTACCAAACCTTCCCTTTCTCCTAACCGACTTGTGTCTTCAACTTTCCCTTCGTTCTTTTTAATTTTCTTCTCACCTTGGTATTATTATTTAGCTGACATTCCTCCTCTTCTTTTCTTAGCTTACCCTTCACTCTTTTACTTCACATAAACCGGCCTGGCAGGGACTGCTGGGCAGGAAAATGTGGGCAGTAATTAGTTGGACAGGGTGTGATGCGGTCTTTGTTTTAGGTTTTTCAACATCTCCAGCAGACCTGTCAATTCCCGATCCAACGATACGCAAAAGAAGGAACATTCACGGGATTATCCTATCGTTCCGGTCCCTACTGAACTTGAACTTGAAAAAGTGTCACCTAACGTTCTACGCGGCAACTCGATTTTTTGGCATTGTAGCCGGTCCGCGGGCGTCACGGTAACACGTTAACAGGTAAGAGGTCAATCGGTTTCGCTTCCTGTTTTCATTGCCCTCATTCCTCTCCGGCACTTTTCCTTTCCTCTTCCGTGCTTCCTTAGCTGCTTCCTTTACATCGGCCTCTTACTAGGCGGCTCGAACGTACGGCCGTCTATGAGGTATTTATATTGCATTGCAGCTTGTCGCACTACTTGCACACGGAAGAGCTCAGAACTCCGGACCGGAGGAATATTACATATTTGACGACCCTGCCAGTTCACGACAGCAGTCCACCGAGCTAGATTGTAGCCCTTGTGGCAACAATTAACTTTCTACTCTCGTGCTACTTGTCGTTGTATCTCCCAAGCCTAATATACCGCGCTCAATGCCTCTTGAAGGTACATAAATTGATGCCGGTATGGGCCGTTATGGGCGCTGAGGACAGCACCTGCTAAGAGGGGGATAATGTAGCCGGTCCTCGGGCGTCACGGTAACACGTTAACAGGTAAGAGGTCGATCGGTTTCGCTTCCTGTTGTCATTGCCCTCATATTTTTCGACACTTTTTCTTTCCTCTTCCGTGCTTCCTTAGCTGCTTCCTTACTAGGCGGCTTGAGCGTACAGCCGTCTATGAGGTATTTATTTTACATTGCAGCTTGTCGCTCAGAACGCCGGACCGGAGGAATGTTACAGCATGCCATACTGTTCGAGCTTTTTAGCTACAATATTGTGGAAAACGGTGTTTGGATAACCACTTGAAGCGAAATTTGACTATTGTCAAACTTATTCTGATCCAAGATATCTTAGATCGATTAGTAGTACTGGACATAGCGTCTCTTTGACGCTTACTAGTAATTTTTGCGGTTGTTCCTTTTTAATCCTGTTTCACACCCTGTTTTGCCTTTTGTGGTCGTCTTACAGTTGTATACGTGTTTTATAATTCTGCTCCGTTTTCCACTTTTAACCTGGTCCTCTCGCCAAAAACCGATGCACATGAAATCCTTGGGTCCTCATTTGATGAGTCCAATGCAGCTTGCGGCAATTCTGCCTGTTCAAAACCAATTACGGATTCATTTGGTGATGTGCAGTGTGATGCTTGCTTCCGCTGTCATCACAAAAGTTGTACTGGCCTCCGAGCGAACCAGTACAATAGCTATCATCCAGTACAAACTTTCTTTTTGGATGTGCTGATGACTGCGCTCAGGATGCGAAGCGTCCGGCCATCATCTGTACTGAATTCAAAGCACTGGCGTCCAGGTTCACAGTTTTTGAGAAGGCGTTAGCCGGGCTTGCCTCGCTCAACACTAAAGTGCATTTGCTAATGAAATCCCTGAGTATTGCGAATGAGGACTTTGTAGCGGACTGTCCCCCTGCTGACAGTCCATTTGTTAATGGGTCGTTCATCCTACCAAACGCGCCAGTTCATGTGAAAATAACTGACTCATATGTCTCGGACGGCGTTATTGACCGTCCACAAATGGAAGGCGAGTCACGGGCTCCTGGGCTGGAAAAGAATAAGCGAAAGAGGGCAAGGAAAGTGCGCAAACCTTCCGACCCTAAACCGGGAGTTGAGATATCGCTCAAGATGCAACCGCCTGAGCTGGAAACACCGCTTGGTGATGAAATTCCCTCAGTCTTATCTAAGGCTGTGCAGGCAGCAGGTGAAAAACACCAGATGTTTGCATCGCGTGCTAATCAAACTGCGGTGCCTACTCCAGACATCTCACCCTGTCTTCCGGGGGTACAGGTAGTGGAGGCGGGCATAGACGTTGAGCCACGAGCTTCTTCGCCTGTAGAACGAAAGAAAAATCGGAACAGAACTGCCCGTACTTTTCAGGCCAGTACGAAAAGCGTCATGAATGACGAGTCTAACAAGCTGGAGCATAAGACGTACGCTGCCGTTGCTTCAGCGTCGTCTGATAACGTACTCCCATTCTCATTGCCTGCGACCAAGCCGGTTGCTGTTCATCTAAATTCCAAAACTCGTGGGGTAAATACCGCAGTGGAATCCACTGCCGAACGTATGCTGGACGACCTTCAGTGGTTTAAGATGTGCGTAACGAAGCTTCTTCCGCCTGGGTTTCCCGGTGTTACTTTCAGGAAACTGACTAGATTGGGTAACATCCCAGTTAATGCCCCAAACTCTCCACCGCGCTTACTTCGTGTGGTCCTAACCACCCCCAATGAACGCAACGCGCTGTTGCGGTTTGCCTTCAAACTGAAGGGCACTGATGTTAACGTTCAGCCAGACCTCCTATTAGCGGATAGGCTGAAGCTATAAGAGACCATTAAGGACCTCAAAACCAGGTGAGCGGCCGGTGAACAAGGTCTCCGGTTGGTTAGTTTTCGGGTGGTCAGCCGGCGGTCCTTTTCCGCCTTACCAGTGCCAGTACTGGTAGCGCACGACCCAGGGCTGGACATTACGAGTACCTTCAGATAGTGCTAAGCAGTTTGCGCAGCCCAAGGAATAAGATGTGCGAGATAGGTCTGCTTGTAGATGGGTCTCATCCCGACATACTTGCATTCAGTGAAACGTGACTGTCTCAGGACATCACGGACGATGAAGTAAATCTGTCTTGTTACGCACTACTTAGATGTGATCGTTTCGTTGGCCGACAAGATGGGGGCGTTGCGCTTTACGTTAGCTGTGGACTTGACGTTTTACGTACCCACATGTTTCAGTCGGCAGACAAATCTGTTGAAGCTCTGTCAGTAGTGATTAGTAATTCCTCGGCTCAACTTAGTTGTAATCGTGTGTAGAAGCCCTGGAAGTGCGTCCAAAGAGGTGCTTGACTTTATCCGCTCCCAATCCGCAAACAGGTGTTTGATACTGGGGGCTTTCAATCTACCAGAAGTTTGCTGGGCAGATCTTTCTTGACACTCGGCGGAAGGTATTTTCGGTGCAGATCTTCTTGAGACTACGCTATAAGTGCCGTCGCATCAGTTCGTGGACCTCCCCACTAGGTACATGGACGTCCAACTCCCGTCTATTTTGGATCTAGTTTTTGCAAAGTCACTAGACTTCGTAGGTGATATCACTTACAGCTCTCCCCTAGGTGCCAGTGATCGTCTGTTTATCATTCAGGTGTACTCCGACCAGGCGTCATCAGATCAACGCTAAGCCATATCCAAACACATGGCGTGCTAACTATCAGGCAATGCGTGTCAAGATTTCTGGGTTGCGTTGCGAAATCTCGGTGGTTGATACGGTTCAGGCGACCTGGGATAAATTTAACATTTATCTCACGGAAGTGTCTACTCCCTACATCCCACTTGCGAGGAGAAAGGAGACACGAGCGCGGCCGCCCTGGATAGATACCACTGGCGAGTACCTGCTCCAGAAGCGTTCTAGGTGCTGGAGGACCTACCGTGTAGCTCCATCAACTAGCACCTATGATAGGTACCGCGAAGCTAGAAGTAGGTGTACACAACACTTAAGGAAAGCTCGGCTGTTGTACGAAAAGGAATTGGCTGATGGAGCTTCGAAAAATCCGAAGAAGTTCTTCGCTTATGTTAAGAGACGCTGTGGTTCAAATTCGGTGATTCCAACTTTGATGCGGACCGACGGAGCTCATGCGTATGCGGACTCAGTTAAGGCTCGTGTAGTTGGTGAGCAGTATGCAGGAGCTTTTCTACGTGAGGCCGCGTTGCCCTTGTCCCCAGAGTACCTGAGGGCTCTTATTTAGCTGGGTTTATTGTGGTGGCAACGCAAAGCCTTAGGCTGCTGCAAGAACTGAGCCCTTCTAAAGCAGCTGAATCTGATTCAATCCACCCGAAGCTTCTGCATGAGTCAGCGGTGGAACTAAGTGGACCGCTGACGATGGTGTTTCAGCTGTGCATTACCTGAATGGAAGGAGGCTGTCAGCCAATTATAGACCAGTCACTGACTAGCGTCGTGGTCAAACTGTTTGAAAAGCTGGTGAGAGATTCGTTGGAAGGTCACCTGAATAGATTTAATCTACTCAATAATGCACAACACGGATTCCGGAAGGAGTTTTTGTGTCTGACGAATTTGTTGGTTGCTTGTGAAGTTTGGGCCGAGGCAGCGGACAATGGCCACATAGTGGATGTGCTTTTCGTCGACTTCTCGAAAGCATTTGATAAGGTACCCCACTTGAGGCTATCACAAAAGCTGAGCTCCTACGGCGTATCTGGCCGCGCCATTCACTGGATGTTTGCATACTTGCAGGGAAGAGAGCAGTGTGTACGTGTGGGTCGCAGCTTATCCTTTAGGCAAACGTTCCTTAGCGGTCTCCCGCAGGGCTTGGTCCTTTGACCGAGGCTGTTCTCCATCTACGTAAACGATCTCCCTGGAGAGCTTGGGGTATCATCCCTATTGTTTGCTAATGACCTTAAACTATGGAATGTAAATGTCCCTAGTGGTTCTGAGGCCATACAGTTACCCTGGACAGACTCTGGGACTGGTCTACTTTGTGGCTACTGCCCATTAATCAGGCTAAGTGTTCTATCCTTCGTATAGGAGCAACTTTCCCGCCTTCGAGATACGTGCTCCGGGTGGTAGAACTCCCGCTTGTCTCCAACCAGGTAGACCTAGGTGTCTTCCATTCCTCGTCTTTGCATTCTGGTGACAACTGGAAGAAGGCTGCAAGTAGGGGTTTCAGAATGTTGTGGTTAATAGGCATTTCTTTCGGGGTCTTAACTGCCGACGTATTTGTGAAGCTTTTCTCAGCTTTCGTTCGGCCCCATCTGGAATATTGCGTCCAGGCTTGCCCGCCCTGCCTTGTTCGGGACAAAATAGAGCTCGAGAGGGTTTTGAGAGTAGGTACCAAATTGGTCGAGGGGTTACCGGGGCAATCGTACCCCGAGCGTCTACCTAGCTTGGGTATGTATTCAATGCACTGCCGACAGCTTCGAGGAGACCTAATCCTTACTTACCGCATTTTAACAGGGAAGGTTGGACCGGACTTAAGCTGGCTATTTAGCCCGGCTAGGTTGTCTTGTCTTCGCGGTCATCTCATGAAGCTACACAAGCCGCGTTCGGACCTGATCAGGACGGAAATTCGGTTATCGCGCAAAG